TTGGTTATTATCTTTAAAATAATAATGCCATATTATTAAATTAAATTTGTATTAATAACTTTCTTTTTTATTTATATATTGAACTTGTTAATTTTTAAATAATTTAAATATGATATTATGGAATTTAAATTTGAGTTTTTGTTCTCTAAATTTATTTTTAAAAATTATTATTAACTTAAAAAAATGTAGACTTATGAAAAAAAATGTTTTGATAAATATATTATTTTATAAATTCACTCCATTTTAAAAAAATAAACATGTTATGACACCCGAGTGAATGAGAGGTACATAAATAAACCGAGACCTCGTCAAAATAAGAGTTATATTGAAAATAAAATGATAAGAAAAACTTAAATGAATTAGAAGGTACACATGTAGTAATTCTATTGGGTAACGTGTTAAGAATTTTCCAGTTTGGATTTCGAAAATTAAACTCTAGCCCGATCGTTTTAAGGGCACATTGTCCACTTTTTTAACTCGAGTATTAGAGCTAATGTAACAAGCAACACATGAATAGAAACTTTTTATCTTTCTTTTGTAGATCGTGTTCTTCTCTCTCGAATACATTTTACCATAATCGATGTGAAAGTCAACCACCTTTTTTCTCTCGGAATTTCAAAAAAAAAAAACATAATTGTTAATTAATTTTTTTATAATACTGAAATTAACAAAGACCTAAAAAAGTTAATTAAATATTGGATGGTATAAGTCAAGGAGTGACAGATCAACTAATTAGCATTTTTTAGGCAACAAATGGAAGACTTTTTATATTAATTAAAATTGAGAAATTTGGTTTATAACGATCAAGATAAGGCTACTACCTAAACACATCTTCATTATAATACAATTAGCTAACTTTATATATTAATTTGTGGTACATTTGGGCATATATACTAGCTTTGGAATTAGTGCCATTATTATTTTTTTTTATTACAAAGTATTGATGTCTCAATGTTATCCTCTAAATTATATTATATCCTAAAGTACAAACTTACCCAAATGTATATTTATGTAATTCAATTGCTAATTTGTAGATCTAACCCGTTCTAAACTAAAAATTATTGTAGTTTTGCTTGAGATAGTTAAAATTGTTTATAATTACTCGTAATTGTATTTGTGAGATCTTAGATCTGCTGGAGAGGGGAACAAAACATTTCTTATAAAGGTGTGAAAATCTCTCTTTAGTATATACGTTCTAAAACCGTGAGGCTGACGATGATACATAACAGGCCAAAGCGGACAACATCTGCTAGCGATGAGTTTAGGCTATTACCAATGGTATTAGAGACAGACATAAGACATTGTGCCAATGATGATACTAGACCTCCCAGAATGTTAGATTGTGAGATCCCGCATCAAAGGGAGAGATGAACAAAACATTCTTTATAAGGGTGTGAAACCTCTCCTCTTGAGGAAAAATCAAGGAAAGCCCAAAAAAGACAATACCCGACGGTGGTAGGCTTGGGCTGTTACAAATGATATCAGAGCCAGTTAGCCAGCTATGTGCGAATGAGGACGTTGGCTCCAAGGAGGAACGAAGTATTTCTTATAAGAGTGTGAAAATCGCCAAAAAAGACAACATCTACTGCGGGAAGAATATTATTCCTAACTATGTTGTAATAATCCATTAATTTTAGGGAAAGGAACATGCATGAAGCTGTAATATTGGAATATAATATTAATAATTCTATGTGTCATGAATGAATGGACCATACGCCCATGAATATAATAATATTTGAATACAAAGTTTGCTAATAATTGCATGCAGCTAGCAACCGCTAATTGTGATGAAAACCATATTATAAATACCTTAATTGTGATGCCTAAAGACACAGCAAAACTAAAGCTTAAGCTTAGTTCTACACAAAATGGAGCTCTCTCGTGGTCTTGTCTTTCTAATGGTATGTCTTTTAGGACTTGCTAGCTCAACCCAAGCTCACCTCCAGCTCGGTTATTATGCAAAGACTTGCCCTCGTGCTGAGAAAATTATCTCCGAGTTCGTCTACAAGAGCGTTCCCAAGGTTCCCACCTTGGCTGCTGCCTTCATTCGAATGCATTTTCACGATTGCTTCGTTCGGGTGAGTGGAATTTCTTCCTTTTTTTCGATTTAAGATTTGGTGTCAAAGCTTTTAACCTAATTAGTTTTTGGGTTTTTGGTGATTAGGGTTGTGATGCATCTGTACTTTTGAACTCGACTGCTGGTAACCCGAGTGAGAAGGAATCTCCGCCGAATCTAACATTGAGAGGCTTCGATTTCCTTGATAAAATCAAGAAGCTTTTGGAAGATGAGTGCCCTGGAATCGTCTCATGTTCCGACATTCTTTCTCTGGTTACAAGAGACTCGATCGTTTCCATTGTAATGAACTGAACTCGTTTTAGTTTATAATGTCTAATATTTTTATTTTTCTTCGTTTGATGATTATTTAGTTTGTGGGTTTGTAGGGCGGTCCATTTTGGAGGGTTCCAACAGGAAGAAGAGACGGAGTGATCTCGAGATCATCAGAAGCTTTAGTGAACATTCCACCACCGTTTGCTAACTTGTCGACTCTCGAACGACAATTCGCCAACCAAGGTCTTGATTTAAAAGACTTGGTTTTGTTATCAGGTAAGAATCGAGAGTTAATGAATCGATTAATTTGAATGAAAATCGAAACGAAAACTTACAAACCATCTAAACGCCAGGAGCTCACACCATTGGGATATCCCATTGCTCATCATTCACAAGGCGGCTATACAACTTCACAGGAGTGGGAGACCAAGACCCATCATTGGACTCCGAGTACGCCGCCAATCTAAAGGCAAAGAAATGCAAAAGCATACGTGCTAACGGCATCGTCGAAATGGACCCTGGCAGCTTCCGGACCTTCGACCTCAGCTACTACTCTCTGCTCCTCAAGCGCCGTGGGCTGTTCCAGTCCGACGCGGCGCTGACCACCAGCCCGGTCACCAAGGCCTTCGTCACGGACCTGCTCAATGGCTCGGTTAAGAATTTCTTCTCCGAATTTGGGTTAGCCATGGAGAAGATGGGTCGGATCGGGGTCAAGACCGGCGCCGAGGGGGAGATTCGCAAGCATTGTGCTCTTGTTAATGCTTGAGATTTGGTGATGGGGTTCGGTATTTTTGTTGTTTGTTTATCTTCCGAGGTCGGATCTTGATCTTGATTTCGTGCTACTATTACAACCACTCGTTTTATTAATAAAATGTGATCGATAATTTGTGATTAGTGTTCTATGTATGAAAAAGATAGAATAAAGTTGAATTTATATTAATTTAATTAATAATTAGAGTCATAATTATGTCTTAAGAGTTCCGACAACTGGATTAAATTAAATTGAGGACTCTAATTGTTTTTAAAAATTAATTTTAATATTTATTATTAACTACGTTACCCATTTAACTTTCATAAAATGTATTAAAAACTTTAAAAATATTTTTAAACTTAAAAAAATAAAAATATATTTCCGATAAAAAAAAAACTAAAATGTTCGAAGATGATTTATAAAGTGTAGATAGACAGTTTCCATATGTAATAATTTATTTTATTGTGTGTTTTTTTTAATAAAGGTTAAATCTCAAGTTGATTGAGATGGATAACCAAACATTCATTGTAAGGATGTGAAGACCTCTCCTCAACCGACTCTTTTAAAATCACGAGACTAACTACGATAGGGTAAAAGCGGACAATAACTATTAGTTTTGCTAGTCGTTGACTTGAGCTGTTACAAATGATATAGAGCTAGACACTAGGCGGTGTGGGTGTGCCAGTGAGTACGTTAGTCTCCAAGAAAGGATGAGAGTAAAACCGTGAGGATGACACTCATATGTAACAGGCCAAAACACCCAAACATAATGTTATGAATTTTTTTATGGGACATTTTAAATTTTTTAAAATTAATTATTAAAATGCATTTTTGACGAAAAAAAAAAAAAAAAAAAAAAAAAAAAAAAGAGGTTAAAAAACAATTTTTATTAATTTAGTTTTAATTATTTAGCCGACAATTAGCTTTCAGAAGCATCGGCGCCATTGCTTAAAACGCGGGGAATGAAATGAAACCCTGATAATCATGTTCACGGCGTTCGTCTCAGCCGTCGCGTTTTGCTTTGGATAGCTCAGGAAGTTCTGCTATCGCGATTTACTGCCGTCGAATATTTTCTATTGGACTACTGTTTTTATATATTCTCTGATTCTTTGTAATCTATAGAAGCTGATTTTAGCGACTGAACTACTTCAATTCGGTTCTACATCTATTAGTTCTAATTCGTCGCTGCGGAGCGGATACAGCCGGCGATTGCTGCGACTTTGACTATATACTTATTTTCAGTTACTGTTTATGTTCATCGATGGTGGTTGGGAGCAAACTCTTCAAAACGAAGTTATGCGTTCTTTACCAGAAAGGCCGCTGTTCTCGGCCAAGTTGCTCGTTCGCGCATGGAACCGCTGAACTCAGGCGATTTGCTGGTGCTCACGACGGTAATTTTCCCCTTATATCTTTAATCTTTCAATGTGTTCTCTAATTGTGAGATTTAGGTTGATGAAATGGAGGTTTATGGTAGTTAGAGGCTATATGTGTCTGCAAGTTTGGTTATATGTCGCTGATTTTACATTCAACGTTAACAGTGGTATAGGGGTGAGATGATGTTGTTGAGTTTAGTTGTTTGGGTATGAGTTTGATTCAAGGGATCTCTGTCTTTAACCACCGGGGAGAGGAATAGAGTAGTTTAGGACTAATGGTGCTTTTTTCTTCCGTTATGATCGTCTTGTTATAATTAATGTTGAGGGCTTGATTTGTAGCATTCTTTTTTTTTAATCCTATTAATGTCTGGCCTTCATATTCTTTCTTCTTTCTTTCTATTCCTGTTAAGTACCATTTTCTAATGTGTATGTTTTTTTTCTTAATTATACGGTTCATATTTCCCGATTAGAGGCGCTTCTTTAGACTAATAAGTAGGTTCTTTCAGTTAATGATCTGAAAGTATTCTGTCTGCTGTGTATGTATGGCTATACGAACACAATCTCCCTCATCTATGGCTCTATGGTTTGGGTATCTTGTTGCTTGCTATCTTCAATACTTTAATTGGTTCAGCACAAGTTTTCACATGAGACTCCACGCCTCTACCAATGGATATTTATTATAGAAGGAAGTTGAATGATTCCGAATAAAAATTTCTTCAAGTTGCTGGCCAATGAAGTGCTAGTAAAAAATAATCATCGGGATCAGAGTTTTTTCATTGGAATGGATATGGTGGATTTTTCTCTATAGAGCTGCCTGTTATATATTCCTGGAGATGTTTATGGCCCTTGTGGTGCATCAACTAAACCAGAAAGTACTTGTTGAAGAGTATAATTGTTTTCCCTAATTTATATATCTCCCACGGCTTTTGTTAATTATTCCATTATGGTTTTCTCGGTTATGCTACCGTTGTTCACGGGGCTTCATTTATCTTAGAAGAGGTTCTTTGTTGAAGAGTATAATTGTTTTCCCTAATTTATATATCTCCCACGGCTTTTGTTAATTATTCCGTTATGGTTTTCTCTGTTATGCCACCGTCGTTCACGGGGCTTCATTTCTCTTAGAAGAGGTTCTTCATTGGTTTATGCCTCCTGAGTATGCCAAATGTACATCTCGTTGGAGTGATGCAATTTTTATGGGAGTATTGCATGAAGAATTGAAATTGAATCGATATCATTGGAATGTACTTGTATCATTATGTGGAATCCCGGAGATATCTCCCATTTAGATAAAAGTTATGTGAACTTCTTGTTCATCGAGGACACAGGAGTTAATCCTTCGTTCTATTCTGAATATGAAGGTTATCTAAAGGGTTTTATCCCAGGCATGGATTTTTCTATATCTTTTCAATATTTCTATGGCCCTTTTGGAACTGGCATGGCGGCACTATTACTGTTCCTTATTTTGTTTCTCATCTTTTCCATGTAATGGTAAGATAATCCTTGTAAGGACTTCATTGCTTCATCAATTTTTTTAGAAAGAATATCTGGCGCTAACTAAACTTGTTAAAATAAAATTTCCCCATCTTTGCAGGTAGACGGGAATATAGAGGAAATGATTTAAGGCATAAGCTTGACAGCAGGCATTCTCCTTTGCAGGAAAGGGATTCCAGGGGACGACATGGACCTCGCGGTATTAAAGTCATGTTTTTCTTCGTGTGTGTGTGTGTGTGTCTCCTTCCCCCTCCCACAAGTAGTCTTTTCTCGATGTCACCTATGCTGCGATCCCTAACTTATATGATGCTTTCTTTTTACATTTTCTAATTAAGGAATGTAGGAAGCATGATTCTTAACATACAGATGCAATTATATTTTAAGAGAATATGTGGACTGCACAATTCTTTTACATGTACTAATAGCAAAGTTCCTTTCTGATTTCTCTCATGTGGAATTGGAATTGCAGATTATAGCTCATCCTGGTCACTTGAACGACAAAGGTAAATTGCGACAATCTTTCTTTTTAAAAAATTGTATTCTCATGTTATTTTATCACTGGAGGCCGTGCTGGCTCTCAATTTATGATCCCCATCTTATATGTTTATGTTGTAGCAGTGATACTTGATTGCCTTTTACTATTAGATTGATACTAAAGTGTGAAAGATAATAAGAAAATTGATCTGCAGTCAGATTATATTATCTAAGAATTCAAGTGAAGGAAAGTTAGGAATGGAACTTGTGATGGAAATATCTATTGAGGGATCAAATTTTATTTGAAGCCCTCACGAGGAATGTTTATGAGATTTTTCTCATGGGAAAATAGCCATGTATATTGACGACTTTCTTCTTACTTGAGTATTTCCAGTCCTTTTTTTCTTTTGTTTTGTTAAGAGAGTACTTCCAGTGCCTGATTCCATTATTTCCTGAGCCATGCTTGAACTTTACAATTTTTTTTACGTCTTGGTTTGAAGATCTTATGTGGCATATTAGTATGGCCTGATTTCATTCTTCTACACCCAAATATTTTTTTTTCATGAGTACTGGCACAAAAAATTGCTTCTTAGTAACTTTCTGGTGAATATCTTGAAATGGTACACATTCTTGTCTCAGTGATCGTAAAAGAAGGAAAAAAGAATATGGGGATTCCCGTAATGATTATTCTGGGAATTTGAGGATTTCAGATAGGAGTGAAGAACGAGATAGAGAAGGGAAAATCTCATCTGCTTCTAGAGACACTCTTGAGGGGCAGGTAAACAAAACGATGGTTTCTAACTTTTATCTTCTATTTAAGAAACAGTTACGCTCTGGAAATCTTGTTTGATCATCTTTGAATCACACAGTTAAACAAGATGCAGGCAGATATTGAGATGGCTGAGCACCACAAACACCAAGCTGAGGTAAGTATTGTCTCTTTATTTTCTGATTCCTGCCTCTAATTCTGTGCAGGCAATAATCAATAGGCAATACATATTTCCTTTTCTCTATCCATGCAATAGGCAATACAATCTAAAACTCTTATTAAAAATTTCCTTTATGATAGTATTTTCCCAAATGTATTCTTTGGAGTGGGTTGAGATGTTTGGTCCCTTGTTAGGTTCTATGTTTCTATCTAGGCTTCAGTGATGTGACCTTTTTGTAATTACCCTCTAGGTCTTATTTTACTGGATTGGAGTCCGTCCTTGTAGTTTGGCTCCCTTGTGTGGGCTTTATTTTTGTATTTCTTGTATTCTTTTATTTTTTCCTCAATGAAAATTCTTTTATTCCTAAAAAAAAGAAAAGAAAAGGTCCACTCATTTTTAGTGAAGTTTTAAGCTTCAGTTTTTGTTTTTATTGGACAACAAATTGGCATGAGAGCAAATTAGTCGGCATTGGATCCAAAACTTAGGCAAGAGTAGCTGAAGTTTATGAGACGGTGAAAGGGCGGAAGATGATTTAGCATCAATGAAGTCAGTGAAGAGCCATTAGTCTGACCGCTAAACCTTTTTTTTATTTTATTTTATTTTTTTGTAACAAGAAACAGAACTTTTAATTGATTGAATGAGAAGATTAATGCTCATAAGACGTGAACTCCAAAAGTTTTCATTGTACTTAGCTTTTGGTGGACTAATGCTCAAGAGCCCAAAAGCTAACTACAAAAAAGGCTCCAATTTGTAAGGACAAATCCAAGACCATAATTCCAAAAAGGTCAAGTGACTGATACCCACAAGGAAGCATTAAACCTCACAAGCTCCTGAACCTCCCCACTCGACTTCTCTTCGTCTCTTAAGAATTCTATTAGGAGAATGCAAGAACACCTTCTAACGCCAAAAGAACTCATCAACCAACCCCACATGAAGTTAGCAAACTGGCCCTCTCACAGTAAATGAGACCAATGCTCTTCATTCCTCCTACAGAGAAGGCACCATTGCAGATACAACATTGAGGTAGAGTGACTTTAGATGTGATTTTGAGTGTTAACTTCCCAAGTAAAACTTGGAACGCTAAAAAGTTCACCTTCTTAGGAATATTAACCTTCAAGAAAGAAGCAAAAATAGAAGCCTCAGGAGCAGTTATCTAGGCAAGTGAGAAAGACAAAGAATGAAAAAAGGAATGACTAGAGAAAGCACCTAAAAGGATTGGGGTTTAGACCCTAGTATCTCTCCTCCCCAAAATAATAACCTATTCTCAAAGGGTATAAAGAAGGCCACCTCATCAATTGCTTCCATACTAATTAGAGAATGATAAAACCCTAAGGAGATCTAACAAGAGAGATTATGAGAAGACAACACTAATGCCATTGAATGCGATCTCTTATTCAAAAGGAAATAGAGACGAGGAAAAAGGATGCACAAAGATCCTTTAAAAAAAAAAAACTCTTGAAGCTTTCTCACATTGCATTGACTTTTGTAAATTACAAAAGGGATGCATCATCCATGATTTTTACAAAAAGTCCTTCCCAATTTACAAAGAGGGAGGTACGACTATAGGAAGCAAAGATATTAGACAATTTATACCAAGATATAATGTGGTAAACAATATTGTTGAAGAGTTTTGTATAAGTTTGTGTCTTTTCTGTGAATACTCTTTGATTTACTTCTTTCCACATATTCCAAAAGAAACCAATGATGAAGTTTTTCCATAGTATGGTTTTTGTATTCTTGAAGGGGTGATACGTTAAGGCCATATCCAATAAATTGTTTACCTTCCTAGGAAAAGTGAGATGTCATCTGAAGATATTAAGAATTTTTGTCAAAAAATTTTGAGCTTATGCATAAATAAATGCATTTGTTATTCGTTTTGTTTCTTACCTAATAGGCACCAATTTGGAAATAGAGTCATGTTTTTAAAGATTTTCACTTGTAATAATGGCTTTATGCGCTATTTCCCAAAGGAAATACTTTCTAACTTTTTAAGATGATTTCCTTTCCATATTATTTTTGCTAGCCCAAGATTTATTGCTTCTACTTTTTTCTGTCATCAAAGATTTTGTAGACTAGACTTCGTCAGTGATGGGAAGTCATGTCAATGAGTCTGCTTCATTAGACAATACAACGGGGGCAAGCTTGAGGCTTAATTTGGCTCATTTTGTAGTGTCGTTATCCTTTAGGTTTCTACCAAACTTCAGGTCCCAAAAATGGTTGACATTATTCCATGTTTCTTTCATCATTCCATGTGGTGGTTAGTGTTGATACCAGCTTATCGCTTTGGTTGGCCTGTAGGTGACTGAGTGAGCTTGTTGGTCAGTTATGGGGTTGAAATAATCAGCTTAGGGTCGGGGATTTGTGGGGTAAGTAGGGTATGGGAACAGTTTTGACTGAACTAAGCATCTTGAATGCATAATAAATATTTGTATTTTCCTCTTTCACAGTAGTGTAGATTCATTCCTAACGGAGATTATTTTAATGTCTACTAGTTGAAAACTTTGCAACCTGGTTGACCCAAAATTTGCCACTAGAGTGCGTAGTGGTCACTTAATTCTTATCATATGGTTGGAACTGGAACTCCCTTAACTGGGAAGGCACTTTTATGCTGTTTTAAGTGTCATATGCTATTGATTGATATTTTGACTGAGCAATATTTTCAAGATAATGTATATTTCATTTGCTCAGTGAAATGATCTTATAAATATATATTGAAAATATTAGCAAATTGTACTTCCATCTTTGAAGGTCTATCTGGATGAGAGGATCCAAGAAGTGGATAGTTTAACTTCTAGAATTCAGGAGCTAGAATCCCAATTATATAAAGAGAGGGAGGATTCTAGAAGGTACTCATAATCGTCTTTTAAGTACACGTTAACATGTTTCCTGCTGAAAGTGGACACCTACCTCTTATTCCTATTTTTCTTGGATCTTTAATATTCAGGATCAAATCAAAAATCAAGAAATTTGTCAAAGCACATAATCGTTACTCAAGGATACAAGATGAACTGAAGCGGCAAGTATACTTGTCCAATTCTTTTGGTTGCACTTTCTAATGCTTATGACTTTCTGAAAATTATGATCTTTTCTGAACTTGTAGCTCGCAAGCCCGACTTCAACAGTTGGGGGATCAGCTGGGGTCGGATGTTAATAAAATTGGTGCCAATGAAGAAGACTCGAGCATTAATATTGTGAGCGATGGAGAGGACCCTGGTTTTCATGCAGTTAGCCCTCTTCATGACCTGCAAAAAGACAATTCTGCAAGCAAGAAGAAGCATGTTGTTCAAGATATTGCGGAAAACTCAAAACGAGGTGCCTTTTGAGAACTAACTTCATATTGATGTGTCATTTTAAAAAAAAAATCTTTTATTTGGTTTGGAATCTCTTAATATGCCTTCAGCCTTCGTGGGCTGTGATAATTTGCAATTATGATGTTTTTCGTCTTGGACCTTTCTTTCTTTCATACTTGGAATAAAATTTGTGCATGCTACATTAGCTGATTTAAACAAAGGAAGTAAAGAGGCAGTGGGCAGATTGAGAAGGTTCTCTCGGTGGAATGCCCATCCTTCTCAATCGGTATATAGCAAAATTGAGGCGGTTGGCAATGAAGTCAATGATTTGATACCTACAGCAAATGAAAGCAAGCAGAAAAGAGGAAGGACATCTACCACTGTTTCTTCTGCGGATAAGGTGACTTTGATATTTTTATATTCAATTTTATTTGTTTGTACAATGTACAACCTGCTGTGCGTTTGAGGTTTGGATGTCTGATTTGTTATCGACATATGGAACACGATGCATATAGGTTATGGCAAGCATGAAGTGTGCTACTTTCTATCTATATAATTCGTCCTTTCATAGTTCTTGTTGTTGTCAGGACCTAGGATAACATTCTCCCTCTGTCTTGCAAGATCAATATGAAGCTTTCCTTATATGCTTTGCAAATTACATCGTTAAATTCTTTTTACGTCTATGCACTCAATTTCTCAACTCAAATCTGCGCAGGTTAGGGGTCTGGAATCAGGTGTTGTTGTGCCATTAACCAGCATGGCTGCCCATGCAGTTGATGAAGAAGTTGATATTGAATTGGAAATCAACAACAAAGTGAACGAAACGAGGGAAAATACTAAGGAAGCTTCGTTCGGTAGCCTGCCCTTTCCGCCCCCCCCTCCACCTCCAATCCGTGAAATTAACCATTCAAGGGTTAGAAAGTTCTCTGAATTTCACAACTTTCACTTTTTTAGTTTAATCCCAATATATGGTACAATTGGAACTTTTCTACTTTGTTTCTTCTGTTTCTTCTATAAGTTTGAACCTAGAAAGGTAGATGTGAGATCCCACATCGATTAGAAAAGGGAATTAGTGCCAGCGAGGACGTTGGGCCTTGAAGGGAGGTGGATTGTAAGATCTCACATTGATTGGGGAGGAGAACGAAATAGGGTGTGGAAACCTCTTCCTATTAGGCACATTTTAAAAACCTTGAGGGAAAGCCCCGCTAGGGGTGGGCTTGAGCTGATACTGTAGAAAGTCACAGAGTGTTATTCAATGGTTTTGTTTCTTCAACAAAGAATAAAAACTATTGTCACCTCTTGTAGCATCTAACATAATATTTGACTTGCAGTATGAAAGTGAAGATCAAAATGTAGATGTGGTGACGCTCGATGACGAAAGGGCACGCTTGGACAATGCCTAACATTGAATCCTGTTGTAGAGATTAAATGACTTCTTAGTAAAGTAATTAGTTTCATAGAGTTGCGCGCAGGTTGGGGTTTTATACTTTCTTGTTTAATACACTTGTAATTTTCGAGTTTGTGATTTAGCATATCAGATACCGATGACCTCTCCATTCTATTTTTTTCTTGGTAGATTTTGGTTGCTATTTTTGAATTATCATGACGAAGATATTCTCTCCGAACTAGTACAAGCATTTCAATGCACTAATTTACTTTGTGATTCATCACAAATCTCAATTCTCTTTCAAGCAATTCAATGCAGTATTTGTATAATTCTAAATTGAATTATGGAAACCGTGGGAGGGGTTTTGAAAATCTAAGAGATCATATTTAGAACATGAAAAATAAATTGGTGAATATGAAGTCAAAACTAAAGAGCTAAAAAGGGGTGAAGGGGCAGTAGAACAAGGTTTCTCAAAACTAAAGAGCTAAAGGTTAGTACAACTTGGTGTGATGGACTAGGCAAAACCTTGGGGGATAACACAGTAATTGGGTGGGTTCGAAAAACAGAGCCTAAGATTTCCTAAAGATGGGGGAGAGCATCTGCATCTAATTGCTGCTATCCATATGCCTATGCACTTATTTTTCCCATGGAGGGTTGGGAGTAACACAGTCACTTGTTAAAGAGATGCACTTACAGGATGAAACAAAGAACCGAGCATTGCCTGAAATGTAGATCATTTGCAGGAAGTAATGCACATAAAATCGAAGACGAAGAACTCCATTGAAAGAAAGAAATATTCTACATATATTTCTGCTGCTCTGTGTCATGTGCATTGAAAGAACTGCTCCAGTGATGCCGAGGTAAAAACATTGGAGGCTGTCCGGTCAGGCTTAACTTCAGTTATGTGAAGCTGACACTTGATGTATCTCTGTGGTATAAAAACAAACTTAGCAGACTGGTCTGAAAAAATATTGAAAATTTTGTTCATGTCTGATCACCCTTCATAATCTAGCCACGGTAAAATTTAATGGAAATATACCGCAAGTTGAGAAACAATTTCAGGATCCGAGTCAATATGCCAATCAGGTTCTAGTTGCCGAACGAAAGACCTCCGCCCACTTCCTGTGCTACAGAAGAGAACCTAAACACAGCAGGTGGTACAAAATTTAAGATGAAATTAGTTAACAAAGGAAGCAAAAAGCAGCTGAAATTATATGAAGTGATGATATCGAGATGACATGTCAAGAATATAAAAAGTTCAGCTAGCTTCTCTCTGGCATTTCACAGGTCTTAAAATACAGAGGTAGGCCGCGTGAGACGGGGTGGGATCCCAAAAGTGTTAAGAAACGTAATAAGAAAAAGAGGTAATTGACAGAATGATGTCAAATGCCCATATCATTGCAGCAACCGAGAAACAAGAAAATAAATAACTGAAAAACGCTAAGATTCATTTTAACAATCTTAAAAGAAAAAGAAAAAAAAGAATTCAAGTCCAGGTACTGAAACTATGAAGAATACAAGAAGGATAGGCAATAGAATCCGACTGAGCAAAATTAAACAAAGAAAGTTCATGTATGGGGGGTCAACCTTATCCTTGATCATGTCACCTGATGTGAAAACACCAGCATCTTCCAGAGCCACAATAACCTTTCTCTGCAAAAGATATTTTTTTCAGTATTAAAATTATTGATGCGATGAGAAATGAAGATACTGCAAAAAAATGCATATAAATCCTGGATGTTTAGTGAATAAGGTAGAATGCAGCTCCAGGATTACCATAAATAAAATAATCCATACGTGGACTTTGGTATTTGAAATTTAAAAAGATTCAAAACTAACATAACTGAAGTCGAATATAAAAGCCCTCTCAAGGTGTTCGTTGCACTGAAAATGAGATCAAACGCATGCTATGTTTGGAAATAATCGCAGTAAAAGCCAAGTATCAGAAAGCATAATATTTTTGTATTGAAATAAAATTTTAACGCTTCAGGTTAGCTTTCCAATATATTTAGATGCTAAACGATCTTTTTTTTATTTGTTGTTCAAGTCTGTGCGTGGTTTGACTGTAAAGCACAGAGAGAGAGAGAGAGAGAGAAAGCACAATCTTCTCTGCCAATAATTGTAAGCGAGAAAACATTTTACAGCGTTCACTAACATTTTAAAAGTTCATCCTGATAAATTAAAATCTCACCTCGCTTTCCTCATCAAGAACTCTTTCCATCAAATAGAGATCACAATGTTTTGTGATCTCTAAAAGCACATCCACGACAGAGGACCTCACAGTTGCTTGATTCTGCCAGTAACATTACAAAACATCAAACCCAACCAAGTTTCGTTCTCAAATATCATTTCATTCCCAAATACACTGATAGGAAAAATACCACAACTTGCAGCTCTTCTGAACTGTTTTCCACCAAAATGATTCCAAGTAGACGGCAAGTTACCTGAAATAACAAGAAATTGGATCAGAACTTGCCATTTTAACATATGTTTTATATGCTTGTACAAGATGAATGCCAACTTCAACAGGTAGGCTTTTGAGCACGTAGAATGATAAATGTTAAATAGCAAGGTTAAGCTTACTTGTGATGAATGGTCAATGGGATTAAAATGTTATCCATTTTTAATGAAATAACTCATTGCAAGACATAAACATATCGAGGCTACTGATATGTTTGATTACCTTTCTTCCGCCACCTAGCTTCTGTCTAACAATTTGCTCCAAAGTTGGCTGAGGTAAAACCAAACACTCATTGTAAATTAAGTAATTAATAAGTAAAAAATAGTATAAAAAAAAAAAAAAAAAAGCATGTTTAGTGTCTGAAAAAGTTCATTTCAGTTCCTATGCTTTGATAAAGCAACATTATAATACTTGAGGTATGAAATGGTTCAATTAGGTTTATGAAATCACTATTACATTAATGACGCTAATAGAATTTGATTGGAGAAGTTAAATGATTAACTGACTTAAATGATGTGGTTCTGGAATTGTTGACCCAAGTGTATACACATAGGAAAGAGAGAAACAGAGAGAATGATAATGAGAACATTCTATGCTGTTTGTTTTATGAGTGAGCTAGAGTATCGTAATGATTTGTTGTTGCAGGAGGTTTTTAAGGGTGTTTATGTGAGTAGAGGATGTAGGTTTTTGCTATCTGTTTGTAAGACTTCTTGAGAGTATTTTGGAGAGATGGAAGCCCTTGAATCTCCCTTTGCTTCGCCAAAATCATTCAGAAACAGATCAGGTTTTATCACAAGCATGCATGCATAAATACATACATGCACACACACACACACAAATATATATATACACAAACACACACACACTTGCCACATTGGAATTGACTAGATATGCAAAGCCACATTATCATATAATTTTCCCAATAAGTTTTTTGCTAATATCAGTAATGGAATAATGATTCTAGGAACCTATTTGAACTATGTCCTAAATCTCATGAGTTAATCTATATGAAACTGAAGGATGAAAGTGAACATTTTAAACTATAAGCACATATGTTTACGAATTGTATGTCAGGCAAAGAAAACCCGCCACTTACCTTCAATGGCCGGTAAAATTCATTGTCAACAGTTTGTGCACCTGAATCCTCTGATGGAGAACAAGTTGCAGAAGTAGTCAATTGTGAATTTGAATCGGTGCCAATGTCAGAGTTGCCTGCTGCAGAAGTTTGCCTTTTCCGTTGCCTTCTGTGATGTTCACTAGGTGGTTTTAACATTTTCCATGAGAAGATTACAGCAAGAGCAAAGCCCGCAATAGCACCAAGAGACCGCAGATTCTGCAACAAATTAGAACATGAGACATTAAATTGTCATCTTAGGTATAGAATACCTGTTACACCTGCCATAAGATCACAGATAACTCCCCAAGTCTATCAAAAAGAGGAATTTATAATTTTTTCCAATGTTACTAGTCAAACCATCAATAAGGGAAGGCAAAATTTGACACAACTATATGAAGAGATTATTAATTCCCCAAGTCTTATCACCGAACTGTTTACACCCCTACTATTAGTGACATAATTTGTTTTCAGATCTCCTGAAAACCATCTACTCAGCGGTCAAAAAGGGAAGGCAACAAAGGAACTCTAGGTCTCAACCCCCCTCAAGCATTGAACTTCCCTCTTGATTTCCCATTAAAAATGACTAGGAAGATAATAAAAAAGGCATCCTCTGATCACATTCCAAATTTGGAACCGAGACCTTCTCCTTGAGAACGGTAATCACAAATTATGATCAAACAAATGATACCCATTTTTAAGGTTAAGTTAAAAGACTGAGCCCTTCTTTTTACTTGTCACTCATCTTCGCGTATGTTGACAATGAGGATGGGATCCAAATTGTCTGCTCCTACAAACACAGATATTTAATAGTGATTCGAGGATGATTTGATTATAATCCCTCTTCCAAGACTTTTTCCACGCCCTTTTGAGGTAAAACAATCCAGTCCAGGAGTTTTGTTTGTGCCTAGGAACTGTATCGCCTTTCCTACCTCTTCTTCGGTGAAAGTAACCTCAAAGGAGGCTACTGGCTGTGGATCAATTGGTTTCCAGTCAAGATTGTGGGAAGATTCGATGAAGGTGTTGACCTTTGTGTATAACATGTAAAAGGACACAAATTCTAATACAATTTCATCCTTGTTTACCAAACTTTTTCCTTGTGTTGATAGAATTACCATGATGGTACTCTTTCGTTTCTTTGAAACCATGATACGATGGAAAAATTTGGAGTTTATGTCACCCTCCTCTAGCCACCATTTCTTACATTTTTTTCTCCAAGATTGCTCTTCCTTCGCTACCAACAAGATAAGTTTTACCTTCATGAGATTTGTGTTGGACTAAAGTGATGGAGCCAGTTTCCTCCCTATGATCAAGTAGAGAAATTTTAATAAGGAGTTGGTTTGTTTTTGTGGAGATACAATTGAAAACCTCCTTGTTCCATTTCTTTAAGACTTCTTTTAGCTTTTTAAGTTCATTGATGAAACTGTGGCTATCCATGGAGTGGCGTGTTCTTCCACCGGTATTCTACCATTAGCAAAATTCAAAGTGGTTCAACTACATATTCTCGAAGCGAAAGGGCAAGGGTCCCCATTTATAACATCCCATGGAAAGTACAATGGGAGAATGATAAAGAAGTAAATGTATTCAACCCTTGAACACCAGCATTACCAAGTTTTCCAAAGAGATTTTTTGTAGCAAAATTTTTTTCGATGAGTGTCA